GGGAGACAACAGATATGAGGAGAAGAAAACAACATAGGTGTGGACCGTTACTCAAATAGGTACTAGTCTCGTACCTATTCGAGGCATATAAAGACCGAAGATCGGAAGAAGTTGAAGATACGAATCTGATGACGTAAAAGAGTCTAGATACAACATTAAATATCAAATATGTTAGAGAATTTGAATTAAATAGAAATGGTTGTGTAACGTTTCTTTTAATGTCATTTATTGCTCATTATTGTCTCATTAAGACAAAAGCATTACATCTTCTCCTAGAATCAACTATAAAAGGAGAAGGACTCAACATCTGTAAAAACGAGAAATATTATTGTGATTACACTGAAATACAAAATTACTTATTACTTTATTATTCTCAAAAGTCTTTTATTATTTTCGTCTCCAGGTTATCAGTAACCCAAATTTCTCTATATTTCTAAGCTTTGACCAAAGACTCAGATTTTTGGTTAAACATAGAGCTCTAAGTAACCTCCCACTCAAAACTTAGTTGCTTAACCAATGGACCAAGGAACGCTTCTTGGCAAGCGGTGTCGTTTCATTGGATACTTAGAAATTTTCAATGTTATAGTATTTAATAAAAATGTATATTTAATTAAAAAATTTGATGGACACCGCTAACACTAGGGTGCGTCCGCTCTTGGGTGTGGGCTAAATAAATCAATAGGCAGTCTTGATTTTATTGAAGTAAATTGCATTGGAACTTTGTAAATTCTAACAAAACGTGGAAAGATATATCTACAATTATTATTTATTGAGTTTAAATTCTATGCATTAAGTTAAATTTTTGCTAATGAGCTGGATATTTTGCTCTTTCTCGGTTATTTTGTTTCAAAGTAAAATAATGATTCCACCACTAAACGCAAGTGCAACTTGAAGGATATAATGGAGTGAAATTATAGTTTACTAATAACAAATTATATACAAATAATTAATGGACATTGAATTCAATCACGCAAATGATTTTTGATCTGTACTTATGTCGAGTGGCGCTCCATACCCCATAATTTTAATACCACAACTCAAACTGTCAAACACATTATTACTTTTAATTTTACAGTATTTTATATTGAAACTCAAAATGTATGCGTAGTTATACTCATATTACATTAATTGAGCTTTATGCAACAAACTAAATCTTCGGAGGGAGTATTAATTAATTATAGCATCATGCCGGTTTAACTTTCTTTTTGTAACCAAACGACCCTCTTATCATAAAAGTAGAGCTACCACATGTTCAATTTTTTGTTTAATAAATATTTGGAGGCGTACTTCTTATTATTTCATTTTAGAAAGATTGATGCTTTTTATATTTGAAAATAATTACGTAATTTTATACTTTCATATTATTTTACCTTTAATAAGAATAAGAAGCAAATACGTACATTCCGATCCTTCTACGCGCCACCACCACCTCCTCCTTCGCCTCCGCGTCACTTCCAGCTTCAATTTTCAACAATTTGCTCAAAATTGAGGACAAAAGCAAACAATTCTGATACAAATACTATGGGATATTTAAGATCATACATTTTAAATTTTTTCTTAAACTCCGTACATATTCAAAGGATATCGTTAAAATAGAACTGAGATAACATGTATTTATTTCTCTCTTTCATTTGTTTTTTTTTTTGTCTTTTGATAGTTTTTTATGTGGCAAAATACATAGACAACCCTTTAAACGTGGCCATATTTTTCACTTAGGCACTTTGTTGCGTATAGTAGGGCCCAACTATTTATTAGTTAAGTGTAATTAGTTATAACTACATATAGTTAGTTAGTTCGTGGTAGTATAAATACAATAGTTAGTTAGTGATATTGTACAACTATTCATTTCTTTCTTCTTCTCAGTCGACTAATAACTGAGCTTCTCCTTCATCTCTTCTTTTAGAACCTTCATTTTGCCATGGATGTAGCTCCTTAACATAGTATTAAAGCTCGGTGCTCGATTTCCTTAAAGCTCAACCGTGAGAAAACTTGAATCATTCTGTTGTATCAAATCATCCGCTCATCAATTTGATCGAGCCATTTTTCAACACATAAATCTCTCTACTCGACCTAGGGTCGGGAATATTTTGATTTTCTGTTTGAATCGAGGTCAAATTGTGTCTAAGTCTATGTGATTGTGATAACATTATAAGAATTTCTGGGGAAGTGCTTGCTGCTGTGACAATGTCGATCAATGAAGATGTAGTTGGCTCACCTGTTGTTGCGTCAATGTCTACAGAACTCGTCGATCACAACCATCCTCTCTATATTCATCCATTCGATACTCAAGGTTCTGTTCTAATTTTTATTCAGCTTCAAGATTCATAAAAATATTCTATTTGGAGTAGATCTATGAAAATTGTATTGCATGGTATGTTCTAGGTACTTGTACAAAAATCAAATATGATACTAGTTTACATGAATTGTGGGATAGATGCAATGTCATTGTACTTGCTTGGATAATGAACACAGTTTCACCAAGTTTAATTAGTTCAGTTATCTATGCTTTCGATACCTACACGGTGTGGACAGATCTTAAAGAAAGATTTGATAAGGATAATGCATCTAGGGCTTGCTATTTGCACAAGGAAATTGCCACATTAACTCAAGGCATATCCTCTGTGTCTGTGTACTATACTAAACTGAGAGAATTATGGGATGAGTATAAAATTTCGACTCCTCCTCCTACTTGTGGTTGTGCTGAATCTAGAAAACACGTAGATCACTATCAGATACAAAAGTTGTATCAGTTCCTCACAGGGCTAAATGAGTCCGATGAAAATGCAAAGAATCAGTCATCATGACTCCACCGTTGCCTAATCTGAATCAAGCTTATGCTATGATAGTTAATGTGGAGAGTTAGAGAGTTAATGGAAAAGGTGTATTTGCTGAGGGTAATGAAGTTGCTATGACGAGTAATAAGGGGTATGTTGGAAGCTATAATAGTGGAGGACAAACTAACAATAATCATAATGGAGGGTATACAGGTGGATATAACGGTGGAGACAAACTAACACCAATTTCAATGGAGGCTATAGACCAGAAACTCATTTAGTAAAGGTGTCACTACTACAAAAATGGCCTTTGGCGGTAATTACTTAGCGGCAATAATGCAATGATCGCTAATAAATTCTTTAAGCTTAAATATTAGCGGCATATGACCAATAGCCAGTAAAAGATATCCTTTTACCGGCAATAAAAAAATAATAGCCACTAAAAATTACTAATTGAAACTAATCTTTTATTATTTTAACTATCCCTCCGCACGAAAAAAAAGAAAATCTTTCCCTCCAATTTTTTTGATACCTTTTATCGTTCCCCTCCCCAATTAGAAAAAAATAGAACGAAAAACCTAACTCACTCCCCAGTTGAACGAAAAACAATAAAACATTGAATCCTAACTCGCTGCTGAAAAGCTTAACTCGCTACTGCGTCAACGGCAGTGTGATTTACAGTGTGTCAACGGCAGTGCGAGTGCATCAACGAAAGCCCATCTTTTTCCAGGTAAATTCTCTTCTCTTCGATTTACAATCGATTTACAGTATAATCGATTTCCCTCTTGAATCTACTTTGGTGCCGAAAAAACCTAACTCGCTGCTGCGTCAATGGCAGTGCGATTTACAGTATGTCAACGCAGTGCGAGTACGTCAACGACAGCCTATCTTTTTCCCAGGTAAATTCTCTTCTCTTTGATTTACAATCGATTTACAATAGAATCGATTTACAGTAAATTAACTTCTCTTCTTCCAATCGATTTACAGTAGAATTTGTATTGATGTTGGTCGATTGATTTACATTAAATCAGTCTCCTAAATCGATGTTGCGTCAACAGCCTGTCGTAGTGCCCGTCCATCTTCTTCCCCTGTTAACTTCACTTTTTCCCCTGTTAAATCAATCACTTGCAATCGATTTACTTAGGTTTTGAATTGATTCTTGTCGATTGATTTACAATAGATTCTGTGTACATTAATATGATAAAAGTCATGTTATTATTTGGATTTAGAAAATCCTGATTTAGGAAGTTTGTTTTGGCCGCTTATCTCTTATATCTAAATTTCTCCTATGTTATAAACTAACTTTTGGGAAAGAAACTCATATACTTGCCGAGGTTAATGTTCTTGTACATGGGATTCATATTCCGTATAAAACGATGTATGTATCATGGACAAAGATTTTCAGATCCTTTAATAAGCATGGATGCCCTTTGTTACTTTAAGAATGACCTTCAAATGCAGACAAGCTTATAATATTTATGATACTCTGTTAACTTCAGCGTTATGTATAATGTTGGCCTGAGATGAATGGAAAATAGGGTCAGTGAGGATTCATATAGCCGACCCCAACTTGTTTAAGACTGAAGCGTAGTTGTTCTTGTTAACTTCAGTGCTTTCAATTATGCTTATGTGAAAACATAGTTGCATTCATTTTTCTTGTACTTGGTCCCAAAGTAATAATTGTGGTTTTCTTCTTTCTTCCTATTGATTTATGTGATGTAATCATATATGTTTGTCCTTTTGAGATACTACTTTAGTTAGAGGGATTTACCTCAGTTCATACATGGGTAGAGTACAAAACTACAACAAGATTACTCGGAAATGATGTGATATGATGGCAAAAGCAGGAGAAGAGAAGTGCAACTAAAGTTAAAAAACTACTTAAAGTTGGACATTAAGATAAAACTTCAATACCTAAAGGGAAAGTAGATGAATTCTTTACTTATTTCCTCCCCTAATATTGTTGGATTGTTTATGATTTCACACTTAATTTATCCTCACTCCATCAATGGTTTTAGGAAGGCCATGTGGTTGGAAATTCTGCTTATACTCTACTCCCTTAAGTATGTCCAATATTATCACAAAAGTCACGTCCATGCTAATAACTTACACTAGCTTTTATGTCATTTTTCACTGCAGATGGATTCTATTCTATTTCAAAATAAACCTGTTAGTTTCTAAAGGTTTTTAGTTTTTACTTAATGTCTACTTGCATGTCTGGTTATTCTTATCTTTCTCTTGAGATTTAGTATGCTGCAGATGCTGAAAATGTTTAGGTAATTGAAGGGTGGACTTTTAGGCTTCAAAATTTCTAGAGACCTACTTCAGTAGAGTTGCTATACATTTTGAAATTTCACTAACATTTGTGTCAAAACACAATTGTGTATGTCAAGATCTGTCTTGCCCTCCTTCCCATTCCTTTGTGTGGCCTTGAAAATCAGCGGTTATGGTAGAAGTCATAAACTTTACATTCTTGGCTGAGTGTGAAATAACCTGCTCAAAATGGTAGTAATACTTCCTCCTGAAGCAAAATGCCACGCTGGAATTAAATAGATTGTGAATTTGTGGAGGTATTGCTTTTTTGTGTGTTTTCTAAGTCGTTAGTGATATTTGTTTGTTGTTAGATTGATAATTGATTGATTGAATTGATTCATCTTATGTTCTGGTATTGTTTTATCAATTGGTTCTTCTGTATATTTCCTAAGGCTACTTTTCACCATATAAAAGCTCAATCACCAATAGGACATCTCAGCCACAATAGTTCAGTCATTTGTTAAGAAACAACTTGGGTTGTTAGCAATAGTCAGAATCCTTCGACAGTCAGTACCCACTAGTTTGTTGGTAGTAATAATCAGAATTTCCAGTCTTAAAAAGTTGTATAATTTATAAATTTAATAATTCTATTCTTATGAACCAATTTGGTGAAAATCGGCAAGTTGTCTTTGACTAGATGTCTTTTTCATATTTACATGTTTGTTCTATGATGAATATGATTTGTTTATAAATAGAAAAATATTACATATCGATTCAGCCCCATATATGTCACCGCAATCACTGTCGTATAGTTAAAAAATTCACACCTTTTTTATGATTTGCATAATTTGATGAATTTTTCAAGTTTATTTACTCTGTCTCTTTCTTGTCATGTTTGGTTTAAGTAATCTTTAACTGAAACTTTAGATGGATGATTTTATAGCAATTATATTTTTTTATTTATAATTGTATAATTTTAATATATAAACTAACTTATATTCTATTTAGGTTTAAAATAGTTAAACTGACGCTCAGTGAATGAAAGAGTTATAAATAAATTGGTAAAAATGGAATATAGAAATAAATTGGTAAAAATGGAATATAGAAACAAATTGGTTAATATATTTATGTTTGATAGTTTTAATTGTTAAAATAATATCTTGGAGTTATGGAATTACCTACTAATAGAATAGTTATTTTATTTTAAACTACCTTTTTGATTAATACCTCCTTTTTACTAACGAATTTTTAGCTCTTGCAGTAATTATAGAAAAGAAAGGAATAGCTTGAACGCCATGGATACTCCTAAAAATAAAAGATGGATGTATTGTGATAGAGTTAACGAAGAATATTCGGACGGAGTAGAGGATTTTTTAAATCATGCCTTTTTTGAAACAAGGTGGAGAAAAAATTGCATGTCCTTGTATGAAGTGTGTGCTTATCCATCAAGTAAATCGGTCTACAACATATGATCATCTTGTAATTAATGGTATTATACCGTCATATGATACTTGGTTTTGTCATGGGGAGTCTCTAAAGGGATCTAACAATGCTCGAGAAACTAATCGCATCCAGTTAACTTTAAGGGGCGATGATATGCGAGGAATGATACATGATGCATTTGGAGGAGTTACACAGTTCATGGATACTGACATTAGTGAAAGCGGTGGCATGGAGCAAAATGTACAAGAGAATACTACTCATCCATCTGGAAATCAGCCTCATCCAGAGGTGGATAAGTTTGAACGGTTCATGAAGGAGGCAAATGAAGAACTATATCCTGGATGTAAGAAGTTTAGCAAACTATCCTTTTTGCTGCGTATGTATCATACAAAATGCATGTTCAAATGGTCAAATGAATCTTTTAATTCTTTGCTTGGACTGTTGAAAGATGCACTGCCTGAAGGAGAAAAATTGCCTTCTTCTTTCTATAAGACCAAAAAGATAGTTGAAGGCTTGGGCTTAAAGTATGAAAAAATTCATGCGTGTCCCAACGATTGCATGCTTTTTAGAAAAGAGTTTGCTAATAAGAATGTTAATGAATGCAAAGTTTGTGGAGCTTCTAGATGGAAAAATGATGCTAGAAAAATTCCAGCCAAGGTCCTAAGGTATTTTCCTTTAAAACCAAGGCTACAAAGATTGTTTATGTCTTCAGAAACTTCTAAAGCAATGCGATGGCATCATGAAGAGCACAACAAAGATGGAGTTTTACGTCATCCTGCAGATTATGAAGCTTGAAAAAATTTTGATAGTAAATATCTCGAATTTGCTGGAGATCCTCACAATGTGCGCCTAGGATTAGCTTCTGATGGGTTTAATCCATTTGGCACAATATGAACTGTTCACAGTACATGACCAGTGATTTTAATGCCATATAATCTTCCACCATGGATGTGCATGAAACAAGAGTTCTTCATTTTGTCCTTGCTTATTCCTGGACCAAAAGCGTCTGGCAATAATATTAATGTCTTTTTGCAACCTTTAATAGAAGAGTTAAATGAACTATGGGATGTCGGGGTAGAAACACACGATGCCTCTACTAAGGAAATATTTCAAATGCAAGCAGCTCTCATGTGGACTATAAATATTTTTCCAGCATATGGTTCTCTCTTTGGATGGTGAACTTATGGTCGATTTTCCTTCCCCTCTTGTAATATAAACACTCAATGTAGAAGGCTCAGACATAGCAGAAAATTTTGTTACATGGGGCATCGACGCTTCTTGAAGTCGGGACACAAATATCGGAATGATGCAAAATCGTTTGATGGGACTAAAGAAAAAAGACATGCACCTTGTCCAGTATCTGGGTCACTAGTGTTGAATCAAGTTAAAGATATAGAATTTACTTTCGGCCAGTCGAGTGAAGGGGTAAGTGGAGTGATGAAAAACACATGGAAAAAGAGGAGTATTTTTTCGATCTTCCTTATTGGAAGTCTAACTTGGTGCGCCATAATCCCGATGTGATGCACATAGAAAAGAATGTGTGTGATAACTTAATTTATACATTATTGGGTCTTGGTAAAAATTCTAAAAACAACTTAGAAGCTCGATTAGACTTGAAGGAGATGAAAATAAGACCAAGTTTATGGCCTCAATATCGAGCTAGTGGGAAAGCATATCTTCCTCCTATTTTTTCCCAATGTCTCAGAATGAAAAGGAGTTGTTTTATGAAGTACTACAAAATGCCAAGTTTCCATATGGCTATGCATCTAATATCTCACATTGCATTCGCAAACGGAAGATATTTGGGCTAAAAACTCATGATTATCATGTTATTGTATCGACCTGACCGGTCGTTTTGAGCTCTAGCGCGTCGTTCAGCGGTTTGAGGCCATGAGCATCTTCATTTCAGGTATTATGACTTGTACGCATGGTCGGAATTGAATTTCGGGAAGTTCGGAGTTGATTTGGAAAGAGAATTCTCATTTCGGAAATTTTAAGTTGAAAGAATTAACTAGGATTGGAATTTTGAGTAAATGACCTCAGAATTGGGATTCAAAGGTTCCAGTAGGTTTGTATGATAATTTCGGACTTGGGCATATGTCCAGACCGGGTTTTGGAAGACCCGGGAATGTTTTGGCGCCTATTGTGGAAGTTAGCATTTTGGAAGAAATTTCATAAGTTTGGGTTGAAGTGCATTTCAGTATTATCGATGTTCGTTTGGGATTCCGAGCCTGGGAGTAGCTCTGTATGGTGATTCTGGTATTGGGAGCGCAATCGGAAGTGAATTCGGAGGTCCATGGGTCATTTTGGGGTCATTCGGCTAAAGATAGAAATTTGAAGGTTTTTTAGAAGTTTGATCGGAAGTGGACTTTTTGATATCGGGATCAGAATCAGATTCCGAAAGTGGGAGTAGGTCCGTAATGTCGAATATGACTTGTGTGCAAAATTTGAAATCAATAGGACGTGATTTGATAGGTTTAAACATCGAAAGTAGAAGTTTGAGATTCTAAAGTTCATAAAGCTTGGATTGGAGGTCAATTCATGATTTTAGCATTATTTGATATGATTTGAGGCCTCGAGCAAGTCCGTAATATATTTTGGGACTGGTTGGTATGATTGGTTGGGGTCCCGGGTGCCTCGGATGGATTCCGGGAGGTTAACGGATCGAATTGGAACTTGAAGGATGAGCTGAAGGGGTCTGGTTGCTGGTGTAACCGCTTCTGCGGAGGGTTCACCACAGAAGCGGCCCCGCAGAAGCGAGGAAGGGAACCTTAGAAGCAATTAGAAGTGAAGGAGTCAGAGGCCGCAAGTGCGAAGGAATTCCCGCACCTGCGTGATCGCAGATGCGGTCAGTGCGGCGCAGAAGCGGGCTGGGGAAGCTGGAGGAGGACCGCAGAAACGGTATTGGAACCGCACCTGTGGAACCGCAGAAGCGGTCAAGTGACCGCAGGTGCGGAAAGGGCTGGAGGCAGTGAGTGTTTTAAAAGTCGGGATTTGGCCATTTCTCTCATTTCCTCTTAGGGTTGGACGATTTTTGAGTTTTTGGAAGAGAGATTTTTTTTATCTATGTCAAGGTAAGTTGTTCCCACTCATTAGACGTTAAATACATGGTTTTGTTTCGGATTTGACCATGAAAATTGGTAGAAACTTAGGGTTTGAGGAAAAACCTAGAAAATGGATATTTTGGATTATTGACCACGATTTTGGATATGAAATTGAGAGTAAATTATATATTTGAGATCGTGAGGCTATGGGTAATCTTTATCTTCGAAAAATTTCGAAATCCGGGCACGTGGGCCCGAGGACAATTTTGTCAACTTTTCGATCAGGGTTAGGAATTATTATAAATTGGATTGTAATGAGTAATTGAACATATATTAATGGATTTACATAATTATTGGTTAGTTTTGGAGCATTGTGCAACGATTTGATTTTTCGGAAGAGCGTGGAATGCCGGTTATGGATCTTCGGAGCGAGGTGACTCTCTTTTCTAACCTTGTAAGAGGGAATTGTCCCCATTAGTGAGTTACTTGGTTATGTGCTCCTATTTGCGGGGGCTACATACGCCCTAGGTGACGAGAGTCTGTGCGTATCTACTATTATGCTTAAGTCCGGGTAGTTTAGGGCCCAAAAGCATGCTTTCTTGTAATACTTGCAACCTTGTTGGCAAACTTAAAATGCTTAAACATATCGAACGTGTAAATGAATTTCTAAAAAAGGTTAGATATCATTTCTTGACTTTTAAAAGAGAAACTTGCCTTTTCCTGAATATTTGCTCCTTGATGAATTATTGGTTTGATTGTTTGAATGTGTTTATCTATTGTGGAATGGGCCGTAACGCCTCGGTAGATTAAATAGATGCATCTATGGTTCGCGTCATTCGACCCTCTGGCAGTGCACTGTTTAAATATTGTTAGATCGGGTCGTACGTCCTCGACATGATTTGCGCATGCTTGTATTGCTTGCCTTGGAATTTATTGAAGTGATGTTGTTCCTTCCCGGCTTGAGAATAAATGTATAAATGACGAAAAGGAATTTGGAAATTTCCTATAAAAAAAAAGAATTGTTTACTTGCTTCATTCTATTGAATTACAATCATGTTTATAAAAATTCACGATTTAATATATTATTGATATAACATTATTGGACCACTAGTAAGTGTCGAAGTCGACCTCTCGTCTCTATTTCTTCGAGATTAGACGGGATATTTATTGAGTACACGTTGTTTTAGTACTCATACTACACTTGTTGTGCATTTTTGTTGCACAGGTTTATGTGTGACTAGTGGCTTAGTGGCATAGCGGCATGATTGATACGGAGACTTAGGTGAGCTGCACTTATCGAGATGACCCGCAGCCAGCAGAGTCTCCTTCAGAGTATTGTACTATATTTTCATTTTTGTCCACTTTGTATACCGGACAGTTACTGTATTTTATTTCATTCCCTAGTAAATTCTCATGCACTTGTGACACCGGGTTCTGGAATGTCTATGGGTTTATTTAGAAATTTTTAAAAGTTGTTGAATATTTCATTATTTATTCAGTGGAATTTACTATGTATTGTTTAAACGTTTTAAAAAAATAATTTCGGAAAATAAAAAACGAGAATTTAATTAAGTATTTTGGTTGGCTTGCCTGACAGCGGTGTCCGGCGCCATCACGACCCTTAGTGGATTTTGGGTCGTGACAGGTATAATTCAAGAACTCCTTCCTCTTGCCTTGCGGAGATCAGTAGATAAAATAGTTAGTTCCATTTTAATTGAACTATGATCATTCTTTCATGTTTTGTGTAGCAAAGAACTAAAACTAGAAGAGTTAAAGTTACTTGAAGAAAAAATTCCAGAAACATTGTCTACTATGGAGAAACGTTTCCTTCCAGGATTCTTTACTATTATGATACATTTGGTAATTCACTTGGCAACTGAGGCTAAACTTGTGGGGCCAGTACATTATCGCTGGATGTATCCAATTGCGAGGTATGAATAATATCAGTGAATTTTTATTATATCTTTAGTTGTTAAATATTATATCAAACTAATACCATTATTTTATTCCATAGGTATTTGGGTATTTTAAAACCATATGTTCGTAATCGTGCATGTAGAAGGTTCAGTAGCAGAAGTATATATAGCAAATGCGTGTATGGCATTTTGCTCACGATATTTGGAGGGTGGGGATTCAAGGTCTTATTGTTCAAGAAAATGCGGTGATGAAATTGAGCATGAGACTAGTAAAGAAGAATGTCTTTTTCCAACTGTTGGTGAGTCGTACGGTGGAGTAGATGTATTTGAGTTGGATGAGAAAACATGGTTGCAAGCACATCGACATGTACTTTTCAATTGCGAGTCAGAAGTGGTTGAGAATTATAAAAAGTAAGCATTATATCTATTATTTATTATATGTATATTACTTATTTGATAGCAAATTAAATATATGTGAGTTACATGAATAGGGAACATATTACTGAAATCAAGAGATCATATCGAAGCGTCGTTTGACACAACATCAACTTGATCGTGTGCATTTCGATACATTTCACAAGTGGTTCAAGGAGAAAGTAAGTAGTAGGTCTAAGTCATTAGTTATGTTAAATTATTGTCCTTATACATATATCCACATTTATAGTTGTATCTTTTATTTGGTTAGGTAAAGGAGTTAGAAGCCACATCTAACATCTTAAAGGATAGTAAAGTCCTTGCACAAGGGACGAGTTACATTGCGAAAAGATTTAATACGTTCGATGTAAATAATGAGTTTCGAACGAAGCAAAGTGAAGAATTTAAGGTGACACAAAATAGTGGTGTTATGGTCATTTCAAAGACTTAAAGTTATGCAAGTACAAGTGACAATGCTACGAAGTCTGCAAATATCACATATTATGGCAGATTGAATGATATTGTGGAGTTAAACTACTATGAAGAATTTAAGGTTGTATTATTTAAGTGTGATTGGGTTGATGTAACCAAAGGTAGAGGAGTTAAGGAAGATGACTTGGGTTTCACACTTGTGAATTTCTCACGCTTAACAGACTCTGGCGATCGAGAACGTCATGAGCCCTTTATTTTTGCAGAACAAGCTCAACAAGTAAATTTGTACAAGATCCTCAAGATCATGAATGGTTTGTCCCTAGGTTAATTAAACCTCGAGATATTTTTAATATGGGAGAGGAAAATAGTTTGCAGTTTGAGTCATCAATGCAGAGTGATGCCACTGACTTGACACTCTTAGAAAATGCTCGTGTTTCAGAGGATGAGTATAATGATTGGGTAAGACGTGGTGTCGATGGGATAGTAATTGATACAAACGTACATTCTCAAGCTTCTCTAAATGATGGTGAAACTAATATTGAGAGAGAAAATGCCATTAAAAATGAATGTGATTCTGAATAAGATAGGTAGAACTTATAGAGTATTTTTCTTGCAAGTGTTATTTAAGAACTTCTAGGGATTTTTTTAATTCAGAAATTTGAATAAATATACTTTTTGCTTTCAATTTGAGCCATTTCATAGAAAATGCATGTCAGTCAGCTATGGATTTTCCATGTTTGTATTGGTTGATTTTTGGTTGAATTGAGTGAATATTTTGTGCTTTCTTTTAGTTATATTTTGCTGATTGTAGCCCTTGTACTGCAATATACTAAGGTGTTGTTATAATTAGACAATAGTTTTTGCTGGTGCATCAATTTCTTTTATCTCTTCAACTATCTTTGTCGCAAGGCTTTGTTTGTATGCACGAATTGTTATTCATTTATTTTTCACAGCTTGAGATGAGGATGATGATTCCTCTTATTTTGCGCGTGACCTATTGATTGGTTGGAGTTAATCTGGTACTAGTATAACTTAATGCAGCTAGATAGTTTCTTTATTTTGAAAAAAGAAGTATGCAAACTAGAGGTCGCAACCGACTGGTAGTTGAACAAGATGAAGATGAAGATGTGAGACCTTATATTGAGGACTTGATGGATGGTCAAAACTACTCTAGAGCCTAGCCATATATTGAGCAGTTGATGGATAGTCAGAACTACTCTGACGCCCAAGCACGTGATGGTCAATCTAATGAGTTGAATAGTTCTGATGGTGGCACTGAGATTCAACATGATAAAGATTCAGGTAATGCTTCTATAATATTGCAATCTGATTATGTATAACATTAGATGATAGCTTTCATTTTCTGGTATGTGTGAATTTGGATAAGTTTATTCTTAACTAAAACATTTGCTAATTATCACGACCCATTTCCATAATAGGTCATGATGGCGCCCAACACCATTGCTGGGCAAGCCAACGCAGAAAATACTAAATAAACTTTCGTTTACTTTTACCCGAAAATAGTTGAAATAATTCTTTAAGTCGAAACAAAAATCAACAATGATTAATAAAGTCATAATAATTATACAACCCCAAATGATACAGTATATTAATGTGTGTGTCAAGACCTGGTGTCACAAGCTATGGGCAACTAGTAGAATATATAAAAGAATCACACTATCCTACTGTCCGAAATAGAATAGACAACAAAAATACATAAGAAAGACTTCTTCAGGCTGTTGAACGGCATGGGAGGGAAGCAGCTCACCATAGAAGTTTCGAGTCCGCTCAGGGATGCGCACCAGACTGATAGCCAGATACACCCGTCTCAGATCCTGTACAATTAAGCACAGAAGTGTAGTATGAGTACATAAATAATATGTACCCAGTAAGTATCCTGTCTAATCTCGAAGAAGTAGAGACGAGAGGTCGACTTGATACTTACAAGGGTCAAATAATATGAGAAGAATTTACAATAAGCATAGATAGCACAATTTATTAACTTTTTACGGCAATGAGAAACAGTTCTTTTTCCAAATAATGTCATGGTATCCATTTACATTTTCAAGGCATATATGAAGTTCAGTCCACCGAGAAATACTAAGTAAAGCATGCGCAAATAACACTGAGGGACGTACTGACTGATCCAACATAAAAGTAAAGTATGCATTCTGAGGGTCGAACGACTCGAACTATAGATACATCTATTACCCCGCTCGTGAATCACATGTGCGACGCGGTCAACTATAAATACGCTCATCAACAAGCAGACAATAATATATATATCGGAGGGGTAGTTATTCACAGGAATATCAAAATTCTCTTTTAAAAAAAACAAATAGGATAAAGTTCCTCCACTAGTCTCATTTACCTTAATCAAAATAATTCATACGAATCCGAATTTATCATCAAATTACAAGAATATCACGTAGAGCATGCTTTTGGGTCCTAGACTACCCGGACTTAACATAGTAGTAGCTACGCACTGACTCTCGTCACCTAGTGCGTACGTAGCCCCCGCATATAATAGCAATTAATTCCATTATTACACCTATAGGGACAATTCCCTCTTACAATGTTAGAAAGGAGACTCACCTTGCTCCAAAGTGTATTTCCAATACCAAGAACGAGTCCAAGCCTTCAATTTAGAGCCGAACGATCCCAAACTAGTTAAATGAGGTAAGAACTAATCAATATAGGTTCACAAGATCGAATTTTAGCTATTTAAGCAATTTTCCAACCTTTAACACAAGTTTCCTAAAATCGGACCCCGAGCCCACGTGCCCGGATTCTGAATTTTTTTGAAGGAAGTTGTTCTCTATAACCTAAGGATCGATAATATATGATTTCTAATTTATTCCATAGTGGAATTCGTGGTTAAATATAACTTTTACTAAAACCCTAGGTTTTTGCTCTAACCCCATGATTTCACCTTAATACTAGTGTTTAATCTACCCAAGACAAAATCATTAAACTAGAAATAGGTAGAACACACTTACCTCAAGAAGCTAGGTGAAGATCTTCTCTCAAAAGCTCTAAAATCGCCAATGGAAGAGTGAAAAAGTGATAAAAATGACTTAGAACCCGTATTAAATGAACCTCACTGCCTCAGCGATTTCCGCATCTGCGGTCTGGATGTGGTCCCGCATCTGCGAGAAGAGGACCGCATCTTCAAAAGGGGCTAAAATGGATGGGACCGCTTCTGCGGTCTTGAGGCCGCATTTGCAAAGTTGCTTCTGCGTCTTAGGAGCCACTTCTACGGTTCCTGGCCTGGCCTAGGCCACATTTGCGATGAAAGGACCGCTTCTACGGTCTCGCACATGCGGTCCACCAACCGCAGGTGCGGTTACGACAAAAGCAGCAGCTTCAGCTCTTCTCAAACATTTCCACTTCACTCGAGCCTCGTCCGATTGACGCTCGGAGCTCACGAGCCTCATCCGAACATACCGACAAGTCTGAAATCACGAGACGGACCTAATCGAACCTTCAGAACACCCGAAACAATGCTAAATCTAGGAATCACCCCCTAAAATCAAATGAATCAAACTTATGAACTTCAAGTTCGTAATGTTCCTCTAACAGGCCAAAACACCCTTAAACTACTCGGATTGACTCCAATTTTTACAGGCAAGTCTTAAATGATATTTTGGACCTATACCGGGCTTCGGAACCAACATATGAGCCTAATACCTATGAAATCAATCATTAATTAGTTTCTTTAAATCCTTAAAATGTCAGATTAACAATTTCTAATAAAAATTCATTACTCGGGATAGAGACCTCGGAATTCGATTCCGGGCATACGCCCAAGTCCCATATTTTCCCACAGATCCTCCGGGACCGTCAAATCACGAATCCAGGTCCGTTTGCTCAAAATGTTGACCAAAGTCAAACTTAGTCTTTTAAGAAAATTGTAAGGAATCAAATGGGCATATCTCACTGCAAACTCTTCCAAATCCCGAACCAACCATCCCCGCAAGTCGAAAATTAGCTAAACCAAGCACGGGAAGTTTTATTTAAGGGAACAGGGTTCTAGAAGGCAAAATGATCGGGCGGGTCGTTACATTCTCCACCTCTTAAACAAAAGTTCGTCCTCGAACAAATATAGAAAAGTACTTGAGCTGCTGAATAAATGCGGATATCTACTCTGCATGTCCTCCTCGGACTCCCAGGTCGCCTCCTCGATTTGCTGGTCCCTCCACTGGACCCTCATCGCAGAAATCCTCTTGGACCTCAACTGGCGATCCTGTCTATCAATAATGGCAATTGGCTCCTCCTCATAACCCAAACTCTCATCCAGCTGAATAGTACTGAAGTCTAACACATGGGACAAGTCGACATGATACTTCCGAAGCATCGATACATGAAAAACCATGTGAACCCCCGATAGGCTGGGGGGTAAAGCAATCTCATAGGCAACCTCCCCAATTCGCCTCAACACCTTAAAGGGACCAATAAACCTTGGGCTCAACTTGCCCTTCTTCCCGAACCTCATAATGCCTTTCATTGGCGAGACTTTCAAGAGAACCTTCTCGCCAACCATGAATGATACATCACGCGCCTTCCGATCCGTGTAACTCTTCTGTTTGGACTGAGCTGTGTGAAGCCTCTCCTGGATAAACTTCACCTTATCCAAGGCATCCTGTACCAAATCTGTACAGTATAACTTAGCCTCCCCAGGCTCAAACCACCCGATAGGAGAACGACAACAACGACCATATAAAGCCTCGTATGGAACCATCTCTATACTGGACTGATAGTTGTTGTTGTATGCAAATTCCGCCAAGGGCAAGAACTAATCTCACTGCCCTCCAAAGTCAACCACACATCCCCTGAGCATGTCCTCCAAGATTTGAACTGTCCGCTCTGACTGCCCGTCGGTCTGAGGATGGAATGCTGTGCTGAGCTCTACACGGGTCCCCAACTCACTCTGAACCGCTCTCAAGAAATGGGAAGTGAACTGAGGGCCTCTATCTGATATGATGGAAACAGGCACACCGTGCAACCGGACTATCTCCCGAATGTAAATCTAAGCATACCTCTCTGCTGTGTAAGTAGTCGCCACTGGGATAAAGTGGGACGACTTGGTCAACCTATCAATAATGACCCATACTGAATCAAACTTCCGCAAGGTCCGCGACAACCCAACTACGAAATCCATAGTGATGCGCTCCAACTTCCACTCTGGTATAGGCATCTACTGGAGTAGGCCACCCGGCCTCTGGTGTTCATAATTGACCGGCTAGCAATTCAAACACCTAGCTACATACTCCACTATGTCTTTCTTCATCCTTCGCCACCAATAATGCTGCCTCAAGTCACGGTACATCTTCATAGCACCCGGATGAATGGAATACCGCGAACTGTGCACCTCCTCTAGAATCCTCTCCCTCAGGCCATCAACATTAGGAACACATAAACGATCTTGGAGTTGCAAAACACCATCCTCGCCAATAGAAACCTCCTTGGAACCTCCCTGAAGTACCGTCTCTCTAAGAAGCGCCAAATGTGGATCATCGAACTGTCGGGCCTTGATATGCCCCAATAATGAAGACTGAGCAACCACACATGCAAGAACTCGACTGGGCTCTGAAATGTCCAATCTCACAAGTCTGTTAGCCAAGGATTGAATGTCCAAAGCTAGTGGCCTCTCCACTGCTGGAATGAATGCCAAGCTACCCATACTCTCCGCCTTTCTGCTCAAGGCATC